ATGGCTTGAGTGTGGAAGGAGTAATTTTTTGTAGCTACCTGTACATAAAATATGTGCTATTGTATTTTATGTTATGTTATGTATCAATTTTATTGTTTATCATAGCAAATTTTTTTTACTTTTGACTTACAGTATTCAATATGAATTTTTTTATAATTAAGCTCATCTTGTACTCACTAAATTGTTTAACTCTGAACTACATCATTTATATAGAAGATTGGCATTCATAAATCAATTGTTTAACTTCAAACTTGTTTATAACAAACTTGTTTATTTTTAACAATATTAGGGATTGCAGTACAGGGTACTGTACTCAGTGATTACAGCTCTGCTGTTCGAACCTGTTGTTGGCCCTCTGTGCTTTGCTGTTATTCCTCATTTAGCATTAATTTCACTTAACATTAGCTTTTCTGGAATGCAACCCCATTATTAAATGAGGGATACCTGTACAGTTATTATCCAAGTCTTAAAGTGTGGTGTTTGAGTGGATACAGCACTCGCCTCCTATTCTGGGGATCAGTGGTTCGGGCACTCCCAGTTCACCAAGCCGTAAATGGATACGTAAGTTTACAACTTGGGGAAGTGAAGGCGGTCGAGAGCAGTACCGGCCATGCTGCCTCCTTGTGTACTGAAGGCTTCGTATACAAAGTGCTGAATCTACACAGTACCTAACAGGCAGTCATGCCTGTGGAACCCACTTCCACATTGAAGTTTTACTAACTTTTGATGTTTTAGTCCTGGATTAGGCATTGCACTTTCGTTGTCAAAATTTGACAAAGGTTACGGATGGTGTTCAATAATAAAGCAGCCACAAGTATTGACCAATCACTAGGAGACTTTAGTTGATGAAAGAGGTTAGGCATAGGTTTAGAATAGGCACGTCATTTGTTTGGTCAACATTGGGCAAAGGTCACTGAGAAAGATTAATTTCCCACTCATGACTTCAGTTGAATGTGAGTTTTTATCATGCCTTACTACTTTTTTTATATGTTTTTTTTATTTTATTTTTTTTGCATGCATTAGCCCACACCAGGCACAGGTAATTTTTAATGACCCACATCAAGGCGGGGGAGATGTAATAAAATAATAATAATAATGATGATGATGATGATGATGATGATGATGATGATGATGATGATAATAATAATAACAACGAAGGTGGGTGACAAGAATTTACATGCATTTGCTTGCCTCTTATTTTAATGAATTCATTAAAACTTTATCCCCAAGTGGATGAAGAGTCAGAATATTGGTTAGCTGTACATATATGGGATTTTGCTATTTGTCTCACAAGATATGCTTAGTCTACTTTATTATAGCTTGAATGCAAGATTTCCATTTATTTCTTATTACAGTATTTTTAATTATATTTTTACTATTATTATTAATATTAATTTTTTCAGCCTGCAAATATATTCTTTACACTGGATGGACGGCACATCAAACTGGGTGATTTTGGGTTGGCCCGATTAATGCCAAACCTGGTTACCTGTGGATCAGGAGAAACGGATATAATTGTAGAAGAAACCAACCTTACACCAATATCTGAGCATGCACCAAACACTCGTGGTGTCGGAACACCTATTTATGCTGCTCCAGAACTCAAGATTGGTGGTCGATACGATACTAAGGTACAGTATTGTAATGAGACATAATTTTATGTTTGTCTTTTAATCTGTTTATTATCAGGTTAAGCTCACTATATTGGGGCATAACCAAGGGGGCTGGGTTCCTTCCTTTTGTAGAGATGTGAGTTTTGCATAAAGATTGTTCTGTTAGGAATGAGCCCCTGGATATAATGCTACATATGTTTTATGGAATTTTGTTTGTAGAAAAGTTGTCATAGAAGATACCTCTTATTTTTTATGTAAAATTTCATGTTAGTTTTGCATTATTAGAATTCTGATTCACAAGACAAAACTCTTATCTGTACAGTATATGAATTGAGTTATTTCATCTCTTTCTAGAGTGACATGCACAATCTAGGAATCATTCTGCTGGAGTTCTTTCAACCATTCCAGACGGGATCAGAGAGGATCCACGTGATTAATGCCCTTAAAACAAAACGACAGTTGGACCAAGAATTTCTCACCTTGTGGCCTGATATTGTAAGTATTAACAGAGGAGTAATATAATACTAGTTGTCTTGTCTCCTCTCATTTCTTTTGTTCCAAACTTCCTTTGTTCGGCACTACCCAAATGAGGAGATAGTGCAGGAACAGTGTGTGACATTGTGGAGTTTGTTAGATGAGTGTAATGAGTTCATACAGTAGCTGTTCGATAACTCGCCTGTGAGATGCAGGTGCTCAGCAGCATCAAAGTTTTATTTTGCCACCTCTGAATTTTAGTGACTATAAATATAAGTCTCCTTGGATCAATATCTGACTTGGAGAACCCTCTTTTTGTCGAATCAGGACAAGGATATTTCGAAACCTTTCTCCTCTTTTGGGTTATATTGTGACATTCAACCAGATTGAGGTTTGGTGCTGGAAAGCCAATGTAACAGATAATGGATGAGGAAAGGTCTGAGTTTATTAGCTGTCATAGCAACTAAGACTCATACATCTCTGTTATTAGTGGTAAACCCTTGACCTTCAGACCCCTCTCACAGGTTGTGATGGGGAGAGCTGTACAATTTTCACCTCCTCCTCCTCCTCCAACTAATACAGTCCCTCTGCCTCTCCTCCAACTAATACAGTCCCTCTGCCTCTCCCCCAACTAATAGTCCCTCTGCCTCTCCTCCAACTAATACAGTACCTCTGCCTCTCCCCCAACTAATACAGTCCCTCTGTCTCCCCCAACTAATACAGTCCCTCTGCCTCTCCCCCAACTAATACAGTCCCTCTGCCTCTCCCCCAGCTAATACAGTACCTCTGCCTCTCCCCCAACTAATACAGTACCTCTGCCTCTCCTCCAACTAATACAGTCCCTCTGCCTCTCCTCCAACTAATACAGTCCCTCTGACTCTCCCCCAACTAATACAGTCCCTCTGCCTCTCCTCCAACTAATACAGTCCCTCTGCATTTCTTTTCACCACATCCAACACCAGTCCTTCACTGGACTTAAGGTAATGTGCTATATTTAACTGATTAATTCATATTGATTTGATTTACTGTATCTTATTTTGCTAGTACAGTACTGTGTCATTATTATTATTAATAAGTATATTAATTGGTGGTTTGATAACTATGTACAGTATTTATGATTTTTTTTAGATGTGGTTTTTCATTTGCATCTGGGACAGATTAATTATTAATTTCATTGTTTCAATATGGTTAATTGATCTTGTTTACAAACATCTAGTTTACAAACACATTTCAGGAACACATCAAGTTGTAAACCAGGGACTGCTTGTACTTGATGGGTATTGTTGACCCATTTCTGCTTTGAAATAGGATTTGAAAGATAAATATTTAAATAAGTTCTTGAATTTTTCATTATTGTGACAACAGTGTTAAAGAACTACAGAACCGTTGGCTCTACTTTCAATTATCTACCATCCAACATTAGAAGGACCACAGGAAAAGTGTACTTGGACAAGAAATAATGACTTTTATTTAATTTTTTCTTCTTCTTCAGGCACCTTGGATATTGCAACTCACTGATCCGGAGCCAAACGATCGACCGTCAGCTTATGAAGTATTGGAGTCAACATTGTTTAAAATTCCAAAATTGGAAAGATCGCCTAAAAAATTGCCAATGGAAAAATCTGATGAGATTTACCAAAAAAATGCTGAGATTGCAAAGTTGAAGGAAGAAAATTTAAAGCAGAAGGAAATAATTGCTCAGTTACAACAGGAAATTGAAAATATGAAGATTGAAATTAATAACAAATGAAAAGCATCCAGAATAATTAATCACTGTATTCATTTTAAATCTGAATCAATTCAATTTGTTTCTGAAAAAAATTCTTTTCTCTCAAAAATGGGGAAAATTTGAACACAGCCTTAATCTTTAAACTAAGGTCTTTAGGCACATAAGGTTAGTAATTACACTAGACCATCGGCAAATACTAAAAATTATGGGAGATACATTCTCTCTCTCGGTCCGAGTCATTGTTGTATGTTTAATGACATCCATATACATATGCGTACTGTATATATATATAAGCAGAAGATCTCGTGATTCCCATTTGCTTCAGAGTCAACCAGTTTAAGTCTTTTACCTCCATATTTAGTGAAAACCCTGGTTTATTAGAAGAGCACTGGATTCCAGGTAAATTACTACTAAATAGTAGCTGGTTTGGAGTTAACTTCAGCTCTGAGATATGAAACAATATACAGTAGTAGTTCTGAAGACTACTGTGGCAACATATCAAAATGTATTTTTTCATGGCAGTCCACATGCAAAATACAGGATGACAAGTTTTTATCATGGCGGCAGGTCACAATACATAACAGCAGTGAAGAACATAGTTCAATATTTTCTGTAACATCAATTCTTTACTAATTGTAGCAGCATTTCAAAAGCTGGTAATATGAGAAGCTATATGCAACAGCAGACCATTTGCTAAATTCATCATCAAGTAAAGAGTTATGTACAGTACAGCTAAGAGTCAGCTGACACAGCACAAGCTAAGATACAATACACAGTCAGTAACTAACAGAAAGTCAAGACCTTGATTGCAGTAGAAAGTGAAGGGCAGTTACAACATCATTTCAAAAATTGGTTATGGTACCAAGTTAGGGTCATTAATGGGACTGCAGCTACAGGATATGGTAGCAAGTTAGGGTCATTAATGGGACTGCAGCTACAGGTTATGAGTTGTGTATGATAGTAGGTCTTGAAATAGATGATATTTAGTCAAAATACAGCTGATTGTATTTTAACTGCAGGTGCAAGATTTGAATTATAATTAAAGCAGCAGGTTCCCAACTTCATCTATTTGTTAGCTAAATGAAGCAGCAAAAGTAGAACAGTGTACAATCAAAACTACGGCATAAGAATAGTGGGGTTTCCACTAATCTGAGAATTACCATTTGACACTAGTGGCAGATCTATATTTATTGTAGGGGGTTTAAGTTTATTTTTTATTGTTTATGCAATTCATAAAGTTATAAAAGGGTAAATATAAAATGATGTACAGTTTTCATAGTCTGGGCTAAATCCTCATAGCAGCAAAGTTTTCCCTGGAAACAACAATAGTCACTCATTGTATGAAGTGACATCAACAGTTACATTTCACCAAAAAAATAAAAAATAAAAAAAAATAAAAAAAGATTATCAGAAGTGTGAAAAAATATTCTTGGATTTTTATCATGATTTAGGATTACTATGTGATTTGATTGTTATTCGCTCAAACATGAAATGAGTTGTGTTTGTGATTTTATGTAGTGTTATGGGAAGGTTTGATAGTGAGGTCTCTGAATCCACTTTTGATCTGCCACTGGACATAAATTGTTCCTATTGGTTTATTCCAAGTGTCATGTTGTGATGAGTTCAGGATCTGTTTAACAAGTTCAGAACCCCTGTATGTACAGTCCTTTGTTATTGTTTTTTGTAATATATCTCAGTTCATGAGTTAATTCCCCTTACAAGTGAACAAATTGTAAATATGTAATGACATATAATTCACCACTTTGGAGGTTAGAAAAAATGTAAGCCTTATCTCTCAGTTAAGTTTGAAATCATTTGCAGATAATGTACTGTACTTCTAATTCAAGGTTATTTTAGCAAAATGTAAACTTTTATATATATATATATATATATATATATATATATATATATATATATATATATATATATATATATATATATATATATATATATATATATATATATATATATATATATATATATATATATATATATATATATATATATATATATATATATATATATATATATATATACATATATATATACATACACGTATATATATTCCTTTGGTTACATGTACAGTACATGCATAAGGTTATGCATTGGTTATTATTATTATTCCTATTATCATCACATTGTAATTATACAGTATTTGGATGGGAGGGCAAATTTATGGTTGTAATCATGGTAACTGAGAGACATGATATATTTGTCAAGTTTGTGCATAATTATAAAGTTCCTTTATCGTGCTAGAAGAGTATTTGGAAGATTTCTTATATCATGTACTGTAAAAAGCAGAATTGTTGTTCAGTCACTTCAGTATAAGTCATTACTATTGTTGAAGTACTCCTAATTGGTCTTATTAAGTCAATATACTACTAATAACAAATACCAAAAATAGTGCTTTATATGATGCATGTTAATTTGTTTGTAAATACAAGTAGGACTCTGGTCTTTGTATCTTTTTCTGTACCTTTGCTTACCAGATTTGTTATTTATGATATTCATTATGTTTATTCCATTGTCTTTTGTGTGGGAAGGTCAAAGGGGACAAATCTAAACAAGGAAATAATAAATGAGTAATGCAAGACAAGTCTACAATGTGAGAGGAAAGGCTTGTTCATATTTTCCACTTACTTACACTGTTGATCTATAATGCTTTATATTAATTATTCTAAAGTACTGTTGTTGTTTTTTTATTCATTTAGCTAAGGGCTGAAGGAGCATTTGTTATGTCTTTAGTATCCATAGGCTCTTGTGTTTCTGTCCATGGTTTACCTTAACATTTTCAGGGCCAGTTAAGCTCTTGATGGTTTTGACAAGTTACAGGCATTCCCTGATTTAAAAAAAGGGTTCCTTTCCAGAAGTTTTTCATAAATCAATATTTCATCAGTCAGACCCCATTTTCATATTTTTAGACTTATTTATACAAGCTAAGATACATTCATATGAAAAAAATCTTTCCAAAAACATCTTAAAATGCCACAACACATGTGTTAATGAAAAATTTTGGCGTACACAATGATTATAAACCAAAATTAAACATAAGTGAAATACAATACAGTACTGTAGTACTGTACACATACTCCAAAAAGAATCTGCAAGGTGTGGTTCAATGAATTTCAAAATGAACACCACGACTCCTGTTGTCTTGGTAGGGTTGTCAAAATCCATATTGTCTTGTACTAAATCATTTAAGATACTTTTTGAAGTGAGCATACTGTATATGTTGTACGGTAGGATCTCAAGTTCAGCGAGTTTTAGATTCGTGATTCATATGTTTCGCGTCACTAAAAATTTCCAGCCTCCCAAGAATAGCGATTTTCATTACCAGTTTCGCGAGTCTTTTTTGAGAGGACAGTGCACATTGTTATGGTCTTTTGTTATCCGTCCACCCGCCGAGTGTTTTTTGTTTACTGCGTAACGGCAGTTAGTTTGAATGAGCGAGTGGTGCAGTGACCCTGGATTATATAACCCATTGTGATTGCATTTCGTGAGATTCTTGTTTAACTTAACAATTCTTGTGCATTAATGAGGAGTGAAGTGCTTAATGTAAATGTCGGGAGCGGTTCTGGTGGTAATGATGGCTGTAGAGAAGGTCACAAGGAAAGCCCCAAGCCAAGTGTGACAACCCTAGGGTTGCCAGCGCCCTTAGCAGGGCCCATGGGGGCGCCGCCGTGTCTGTGAGGGTCCCTAGGAGTGTTGCTGTCCCTGTGTGGGTCCCTAGGAATGTTGCTGTCCCTGAGAGGCCCATGGAAGCTCGGCTGTTCCTGGAGGAGCCTCTGAGGATGCCGTCTTCCCTGAGAAGGCCCCTAGGATTGCCGGTGTCCCTAAGAGCACCCGTGCAGGATCCAGCGCCCCTGACAGGTCCCCTGTGGGCACAGCCGACCCTGAGAGGGCCCTGGTGGCGCCTCCGTGCCTGGCATGGCCAAATGACCCTCATAGGGATAGCGGCGACCTCAGCTTCCCTTACAGGGACGGGGGCGCCTTCAGGGATGTTCCCAGGGACGGCGACGCCCCCAGGAACCCTGCCACAGCGGTGGTGTCTTCAGGGGCCCTTCCAGAGGCGGTGTCTCCCCCAGGGTCCTTCCATGGGACGCCACTGACCCCCAAGGACCCTGCCAGGGACTGTAGCGCCCCTATGGACCCTCCTAGCGCCCGCAATGCTGCTAAGGGCCCTCCTAGTCACAGTGGGTGCCTTTCCAGGGGCGGCAGGGTCTCTGCCAGGGGCGACGGCGCCCCCAGGGGCCCTTCCACATGCGGCATTGCCCCAAAAAATTCATAGTTTTGTCGTACATTTTGCATTCGTCCAGTAATCCCTTATTTAACTGTGATTGGTGGAGCAAGATGTAACGTCATCAAATTACAGCCAATAGGAGAACAGAGCAATCAGTCAGCACAACACCCCAACTTATTCTCAGTTGTTAGATATTTACTCTCGTTTCACTATTTAAATTCTGGGAGATATGACTTTAAATAAAAATGCACTTCCCATCGCATTTTCAGTATTATCGCAACCTGACCAATAAAAAGGAGAATAAATATCCAACAGCAAAACATAAGTTGGGGTGTTGTGCTAATTGATTGCTCTGTTATCCTATTGGCTGTAATTTGATGACGTTACCTCTTATTTCACCAATCACAGTTATGTAAGAGATTACTGGAAGAATGCAATATGTTCGACACCACTATCCATTGTTTTGCGGCGCCGCCTCCCCTAGGAGGACCTATTGTGAGCCACAGGCCTTGACAGGGTCCATGGGAGCAGTGGCGCCCCATAAAGAGGCCTGGGGAGAGCCACCGCTTCTGGAAGGGCCCCTGAAGGCGCCATCACTGCTGGCAGGGCCCTGGGAGCACCACTGTCCCTATGGTCATACTTGGAGGCGCCCCCTGTCCCTGGAAAACCCTGAGGATCGTGGTGGTTGTCCCTGTGAGGGTCTCCCTAGGGTCGCCAACGCCCTAGCAGGGCCACAGGCGCTGCCGTCCCTGTGAGGGTCCCCAGAGCGCTGCTGTCTCTGCAAGGGTCCATTGAATCGCTGTCGCCCCTGAGAAGCCCACGGAAGCCTGGCTGTTCCTAGAGGATCCGCTGTGTACATCGCCTTCCATGAGAAGGCCCCTAGAATTGCAGTTGTCCCTTAGAGCGCCCCTGGTGGATCCAGCGCCCCTGACAGGTCCCATGGCCGCACCGCCGACCCTGAGAAGGCCCTGAGGACGCCTCCGTGCATGGCATGGAAATGTGACCCTCACAGGGATAACGGCGATCCCAGGGTCCCTTACAGGGACAATGGCGCCTTCTGGGGTGTTCCCAGGGACGGCGACGCCCCCAGGGGCCTTACCACAGCAGTGGCGCCTTCAGGGGTCCTTCCATAGGTGGTGTCTCCCCCAAGGACCCTCTTTGGGGCTCCACTGCCCACAAGGACCCTGCCAGGGGCTGCGGCGCCCCTATGTGCCCTCCTAGGGACGGTAGCGCTGCTGTGGGCCCTCCTAGTGGCAGTGGGTGTCTTTCCAGGGGCGGCAGCGTCTCTGCCAGGGGCCACGGCGGTCCCAGGGGCCCTTCCACATGCAGCATCGCCCCAAGAACTTTGAGTAGTTTTGTCATTTTATTTAACTGTGATTGTCACACTGTTAATTGAATAGCACAACACCCTTACTTATGCTTTGCTGTTGGATATTTATTCTCGTTTCACTATTTTTAAAATTCTGGGAGATATGAGGTTAAATAAATACACCGGCCATCGCATTTTCAATATTATAGCAACCTTAACAATGAAACGGAGAATAAATATCCAACAGCAAAACATAAGTTGGGGTGTTGTATTGACTGATTGTTCTGTTTTCCTATTGGCTGTAATTTGATGACGTTACCTCTTATTCCACCAATCAAAGTTAAGTAAGAGATTACTGGAAGAATGCAATATGTACGACACCACTATCCATTGCTTTCGGGCACCGTCTCCCCTAGGAGGACCTATTGTGAGCCACAGGCCTTGCAGGGTCCCTTGAGCAGGGAGCACCCCATAAAGAGGTCTGGAGGGAGCCACTGGCCTCTGGAAGGGCCCCTGAAGGCACCACCGCCGCTGGCAGGGTCTCTGGGAGCACCACGGTCCCTAGGAACGAACCTGGAGGCGCCCCCGTCCCTAGAAAGGCCCCTGGGATCACGGCAGTCTCTGTTGGGGCCCCTAGGGTTGCCAGCGCCCCTAGCAGGGCCCATGGAGGAGCCGATGTATCTGTGAGGGTCCCAAGGAGCGTTGCTGTCCCTGCAAGGGGTCCATTGAATCAAGCAGTCGCCCCTGAGAAGCCCACGGAAGCCCGGGTTGTTCCTAGAGGATCCACAGTACATCGCTTTCCATGAGAAGGCCCCTAGAATTGCAGTTGTCCCTTAGAGCGCCCCTGGTGGATCCAGCGCCCCTGACAGGTCCCATGGCCGCACCGCCGACCCTGAGAAGGCCCTGAGGACGCCTCCGTGCATGGCATGGAAATGTGACCCTCACAGGGATAACGGCGATCCCAGGGTCCCTTACAGGGACAATGGCGCCTTCTGGGGTGTTCCCAGGGACGGCGACGCCCCCAGGGGCCTTACCACAGCGGTGGCGCCTTCAGGGGTCCTTCCATAGGTGGTGTCTCCCTCAAGGACCCTCTTTGGGGCTCCACTGCCCACAAGTGAGCCTGCTAGGCTGCGGCGCCCCTAAGGTGTCCCTCCTAGGATGGTAACGCTGCTGTGGCCCTCCTAGTGGCAGTGGGTGTCTTTCCAGGGCGGCAGCACCCTGCTAGCCACGAGGCCCCAGGCCCTTCCACATGCAGCATCGCCTCTAAGAACTTGAGAGTTTGTTTCAGATATTTAGTATTCTCCAGTATCCCTTACTTTTAAC